GTATTAAGGCAGGTTTGCCTGTATTTGTGGGAGGGGCTTAAATTAATTCACTCCCCTATATAAGGGACACCCCTTACCTGACTCATATCGCTTGAGGTCAGCATCAGAATGATTTCCACTTCAGGGTCATCCAGACGCCATTTTACCTGACTACTCCATGAGGTTTTCTAAGCAGAGCTGTGTCAGGAATCAAGCCACAGGCTTTTCCGGCCTACCACCTTCTTTCTTCAATCCATCGCCGTGGATGGTGTCCAAGTGACTCACAAACCGTAAGTCGACCTACCCGTTACGCCAGGCATCAGTCCCACGGCACCATGCACGGGTCAGGTCCTCACTTTACGGCTGCATTTTGTCTATATCTGTTCTAAAACCTTTGCATGTTCATGTATATCATTCGTTTAAACCCCCTACCGGTCTTTGGGTGCACTACAGGCTTCTTAGACATTATTGCATTTCATGTACAAACCAACGAACCACTGCATTTTCGCCTACACACTGACCCCTCCCGGTCTTTGGGTGTACTACAGGCTTCTTAGACATTATTGCATTTCATGTACAAACCAACCAACCACCGCATTTTTTACCTACACACTGACCCCTATCGGTCATTCGGTGTACTACAGGCATCTTAGATGTTTTTTGCATTTTCATGTACAAACCAATAAACCACTGCATTTTCACCTACACACTGACCCCTACCTGTTTTTGGTGTACTACAGGCTTCTTAGACATTATCGCATTTCATGTACAAATAAACGAATCACTGCATTTGCGCCTACACACTGACCCCTACTGGTCATTTAGTGTACTACAGGCTTCTTAGATATTATCGCATTTCATGTACAAATCAACGAACCACTGCATTTGCGCCTACACACTGACCCCTACCGGTCATTCGGTGTACTACGGGCTTCTCAGACATTATTGCATTTCATGTATAAACCAACAAACCACTGCATTTTTCACCTACACACTAACCCCTATCAGTCATTCGGTGTACTACAGGCTTCTTAGACGTTTTTGCTTTTCATGTACAAAACAATAAACCACTGCATTTTCACCTACACACTGACCCCTACCAGTCATTCAGTGTACTACAGGCTTCTCAGACATTATTGCATTTCATGTACAAACCAACTAACCACGGCATTTTCGCCTACATGCTGACCCCTACCGGCTTCTCAGATTTTATTCCACTTCATAAGCAAACAAACTAACTACAGCATTTTTGCTTTTATACTGACTCCTATCTGTCAGATGGTAGCATTAACCCCTTAAGGACACATGACATGTGTGACATGTAATGATCCCCTTTTATTCCAGAAGTTTGGTCCTTAAGGGGTTAAAGGGTATTTTGGTACATGCATCAACACATACTAAAACATATTTATAACCATGGGATGGTGGCAAAGGTCCAATATGATCAATATATAATAATTCAAAAGGTACATTGGGTATGGATTTTTCAATAAATGGTACGACTGAATGATTCGGTCTATTCACTAATAAGCATTGCTTACAATTACCAATAACATGAACAACAGTCCTTCTCATATTGGGCCACCAGTATCTTTTTTTCAGAGTAATAAGTACATTATCTCTACCCAAATGAGCTTGTCCTAATCCTGAATGAGCCTCTAGTACAAGTTTTTCCCTCTCCTTTACAGGGGGAACAATGAAGTTATTACCATCAATGGTTACTATACAATCAACTCCTTCTAAATGATAGGAGTATTTGGTAGGATAGCCAGCTGGTCTAAATAGTTTATCTGTTGTTTATACTAAATCGTAAGTGTACAGTCGTGGGAGATTCCCGGATTTGGGGAAGTTCCATTAACTTGGGGTTACCACAGTATATTGTGTACTGCAAGAGTCGTAGCATAGCCTTGAAGCTTGTTTATGCATTATTGTTATTGTAATTCGTCTGGGACAAAATGGCGCAAACATATTATGTACTGAGGTTATTGCTTAAAGAAACAGTTATGAAAAACAATATGTTCCATTTCTAACACCTTGTCAGTTTGCAATATCTCTTAAAGACAAAGTACACAGTTTAAGAAATACAACATTTCATTCTAAAACTTGTAATATTTGCATTTGCCCGTAACACAATCAGCATTTCTGACCCCTACTGGTCAACAGCAAAACTGTCTTCACATGTCATATACAATTACCAGCCAATATAAATTACACATAAGATTGTTTTAAACATAACCATAAACCATAAATTAAACTCCAACACGGGCTCAACTTCAGGTTTAATTCATAATAGTTTACATTTCACATTAAGACTAACAGTGGTTCTATCAACACTGCCACCTACAGGTCTGTCAAGTACATTGACAATTTTCATGGGGTTTTACAAACACCAAAACACTGACACCTATAGGTCAACAGACAAACAACATTTCACATACCACTCAGTATCCAACTACACTGCCACCTATAGGGCACTCGGCAGATCTCCAGTGCACTTGCATTTTGCAACACCATGTTCACTGACCCCTACCATTCAATAAGACATACAACAATTCACATAGCAAGCACTATATCAACATCTGGTATAAATACATATATTATTACACAGTAGCAGACTCATCTGTATATATGTAACTGGTAATATAGTTCACATACATTTTTCACAGCACGCTGCTCACGCAACAGACTTTCCCCTAGCAAGGGGACATACAACATACAAGGTGGGGACAGACCACATTTTCACTTGTACATACGGCACTTAATGGGTTAAGATTGATACATATTTAACTAGTATGGCTACGATGTTTAATATTTACACATCATGGCACTTTACTTTTCACATATACTGTACGTATTAAGATAAGCTTGGTCTATGCTATATTTCCTTATGCCATACGGTTTTATCCATTCAGGTTACAGTTACTACTAAAAAACCTATACGGATTGTCAGGTTCAATACCATACTACCAGGTACATACACCTGCTCACGTAGTTATCCATCTCTTACCTTCCCTGGAATAGTAATAGTGTACTGGCAATTAGGGTTCTAGGGCCCAATAGGTATTACCCCTTTTTTTCTCTGCATTATGCTTCGGTTAGTGGTCCCGCGAGGCCAACACCCCACCTCACACTCGGAGGCATACACCCCTCGGGCCACTCGTGAGCTAGCCGCCTCGCATTGTATCATAGAGAGGACCTCACCTGTCACTCCCCTTCCTATTTTCTGGTTACTGTCACCGAGAGGCCAACATCCTGCCACAACGTTCGGTGGCCACACAAAATCCCCTCTCGCCAAGCATAGATAGAGCCTCTCAAGCCACTTGGCAACTAGCAGGGCCTCACCAGTCACCAAAAAACACCAAGCCTAATCGTTTCGCCTTACGGCTTAGCTAGCAAGCCAGTACAAGAACCCTGGGTACAAATAATAATTGCAATCTTTATGGTTATTTAAGTATTTCTCAAAAGATGGTGAAGAATCACCTCTTCCTAGCACCCCGGCTAGAATTGATACACCTTCAAGCAGAGGAGATGTTGCTAGTCCAGCAGCAATCAGATCCTGGACGATCCCACACATTACCACCGACCTAAGGAGGTGACAAATCCCCTACCCTGCTACAGCAAGGAAAGCAGTTATTCAAACTCCTCCATACATCAACGGACAACATGGAGGCAGGGGAAGGCCCAGCTACATCAACTCAGGTGACACCCAGGCTATGCTAGCTTCACTCATAAACTCATGAGCCAAAAAAAAAAATGATGACAGACTGGCAATCTCGAGTTGGTCACCACAGCCCTCACAAGGCTGGGCCTCACGCTACTGTACAACCAGCACCAACCGAAACTCGGTTACCTGGTACAATCAATTCTTATGACACACAAGATGTTAAACCTGCACGTATGATCCCAGCACATTGGGGGAAGCAATGCATATATATGTATGATGATGTATCTGTGATGGTCAGATCCAGGGATTCCAGGTAAATCGGGAACTGACCATCCCTTGGTTGGGTTGGCATTTGGAATATATGGAGATGTTTATTTGTGCAGGTACCCATACAGAAGGGATTTTGTCCCAAACAAATGGACGAGCACTCTCAGGCTCCAGGTACCAGCACCTCTGAACTACCAGAGACCACTGATATGAGTAGTTGCATTGCATACAGACTGTTGCATATATGTTCAAATAGTTCAGGGTACATGACAAACCATGTGTCCCAATACAACTTACAAATAACGTATTCACCATCTGTACACACCAATGCATTTTCAACACTACTGACTCATCACCCTTCCAGACTTGTAGTAGATTTACTAAAGCTCTGGAGCTTCAAAGGGCTCCCATACAGGTATCATAAACACACCTTCAAGGAATATAGCATGCCCTCACTCACAGTCAGCACAACAAAACCATT